GCCAGGGACACTGCTGAACATTCTAAAATGCATAAGATAAGATATCTCCTCACAACCAAGAATTATCCAGCCTTAAATCTCAGTAGTGCTGAGGTGGAGAAACCCTGCTGTAGAGAAATTCTCCTACATAAGAAGACTTTTGTGAGGAAGTTCTTAACCTTCTTCATCTCTCTGCTGGTAATGAGAAAAACAAAACAGTTCAGAGGTTACAAGTAGAATCGATAAATATAACGTTGTATACAGAAATGACAGACTAATCACAATGTAAAAATAAAAGCTATATGTAATAAATGGACAGTTTCCAAATACAAACTGCAGAAATACACCTGCAGCACAATTCTATTTGTATAAATACAAATGTTATATATGGTTTATGACTGCATATATAATTAGCAGAAGTATAAAAACAGGGACTGGAAAGAAAGACATCAAATTCATGATAGTGGTTACCTTTGAGGAGAAGGGAGAATGGAACTGAGGATTCAAATGGTACTTCATAACCTTATCTACAATGTTCATTTCAATTGTAAAAAAAGATCTGAAGCAAATACACAAAAGGTTAACATTTGTTCATATGAATTGTAAGGATATGAATATCTGTTATTATTTTCCAAAAATAAAAATTGAGTCACACATCAGCAATTTTCATGGTCTCCAAAAGCTATTAGAAACACTGCCCAGTGACTCTAGTAAAAGCCACAAACTCCTTAAGTAAATGAACTTGTCTTAAGAAATGATATCTTATATATGTAATTAGTCTCATAGATTTTGAAAATAATCTTGAATTATTTTCTCTATCTTTATTTTAAACTCTTTCATTACAACTGGGGCTTGCAATTTTGACTAGAAAGTTCTAGCTGACTGCCGGGCACGGTGGCTCATGCCCATAATCTCAGCACTTTGGGAGGCCAAGGCAGGCAGATCACTTGAGGTCAGGAGTTCAAGAACAGTCTAGCCATCGTGGTGAAACCCCGTCTCTACTAAAAATACAAAAAATTAGCCTGGTGGGGTGGCGCGCACCTGTAATCCCAACAACTCAGGAGGCTGAAGCTGGAGAGTCATTTGAACCCAGGAGGCGGCGGTTGCAGTGAGCTGAGATCATGCCACTGCACTCCAGCCTGGGTGACAAGAGTTAAAATCCTGTCTCAAACGAACAAAAAAAAAAAGTTCTAGCGGACCTTTATATAGACCTCGAACTCTCGATCTTTCCACTCTTCATCATCTGCTGTCTTCACTTCTCAACTGCCACGGGGGTGCGACATTCTCCTTAGACTTAATATTTCTAGTTGTGTACTATATGTCATACACACACTCTTCTCCCTGATAAAAAGGCTATTTTTTAAATTCCTTTTCAGTGACCTGACCCAATTTCCCTGACTTGGGACATTCCCAAGGTCCCTGTATAGTTTGAGCAATTAGAATTTTCTTGCATTCTTCATCCTCGCTCTGAAGCAGGGACTTTCTCTCAAGTCTAAGATTCCTAACCCTTTGCCCTTTCTTCCATTGAGTCCTTCCTCGTTTTCTACCGAATGTACAGTCATGGTCTTGAAATTCTCTTGCAACTACATAACGAGGCATAGTAAGTAATAGAACAGGGAAGAGCCTGTTTAAAAATAAGTGGCTGAAGAGAGACGAAAGGTCTAAATTCCCAGTTAACAAAGCAAAAATAGAAACCTGACAAAAATAGCTATGAAATAAGCCAGGATTTATTTAGATGCACCTCTGGGAGAAGC